CGCCTGCGCGGCCCTGAAGACTCGGGAAGTTTCGGCACTTTCCGGGCGGCCCGAGCCCAAGCTTCCCATCGCCCAGCGCGGGTTTTACACTCGAGCGCATGCGGCTGCAGGGCGTGCTGCGTGCGGAAGTTCCGCACTTCGGTAGTGAAATCTGTAAAAGCGAAGTTTTCATTTTCAAAGCCGGTCATGCGTATACTGTGTACTCTCTGGTCCCCAACGGCGGGGCGCGCGGTGCAGGCTTAGGGGTGCAAAAGGCTCGGGGTCCCCGGGTCGCCGAGAAGGGGGTCACCCGTGCACACGGGGTGCAGCCGGGGCCTCTGAGTGCTCTGGGTCCGCGTGCAGGGTGCTGTGACAAGAGGGGTGCAGCGTCTCCCGGGGCCGTGAATACCAACGCTTGGGTTTCGGGGTGTCAGCCTGGGGCACGTGGTCCGCCCCGCCCCCGCCGTGCCCGCGTCTAGAAGACACGTGTGAGCCGCGCGTTCTCCAGACCCACGTGCAACCCCTGAGGGCCCCCACCCTTCCGTCTGCCCTGAAACCGTATTTTCACGCTAAGGGATTTCCTTGCGGATTCAGGGCCTCGGTGGACAGGTCCATGCCCACGCGGTGGCACCCACCGTGTCTTTCTCGCTCGGCACATACCTAGTACTTCCTGTGGGTTGTCCACAGGGAGCACCCAAGCCCCAGATGGTTTCTCAGCAGGAATCAGAGCTGGGAGTCGCTCTGGCTCCGGGGAGAGGAGCTGGTGGCAGCTTCACCTTTTGGGACCCCCGGCCCGCCTGTTCCCCTCCCCATATATCCAGCCTTTCGCTGGACCCCAGGAACTAAGCGCTCCAAGGGCCGCAAAGCACACCCTTCTCGGGGAAACCTGCTTCTCCAGGAGCAGCGTTTGAACACTGGGACCCGAGGTGCACACACACCCCCGCTGGGGTGCCCGTGTGTGTGTGTGTGTGTGTGTGTGTGTGTGTGTGTGTGTGTTGTGTGTAAGAAGGAAGATGTAGCTCAGGTCTTCCTGCAGGCTGGGCCCAGGGCGGGAATCCGGATCCAGGAAGGAGGAGCCTCTTCCTCTTATCCCCTTCCTGTCACCCACCAACCACTGTTCCCCTCTCTGGCTTGGGGGCCCTCTTCCTTTTCACCCAGCCTCTGGTTTCTTGTAGGTGACCCATCCCTGCCTCTGAAATTATTTGTCCTTTACTCCCCTACTGGGACTGCCAAGGGCCTCACACTGGCTGCCACCCCAGCCTCTCCCTCCTCTCCTTCCACTGCACCCCGCACCCCAAACTCAGCCACCCTGCTCTCCTCCTTTGATGCTTTCACCACCAACCCACCCCCGCTGCTCCTTCCTGTTCTTTCTCTGGACTAAGGCCCTCAGCTCAGCCTGTTGCTGGGGCCCTGGAGGGGATCTTGTCCAGCAACCCATCTATCTGTCATTCTTTCTTTTCCAGTACTGGGGACTGACAAGTGCTCTACCACTGAGCTGTACCCCTAGTCCTTTTAAAATTTTTTATTCAGGGCTGGGGATTTAGCTCAGCGGCTCCAGCGTCTGCCTCACAAGCACAAGGAGCCAAGTTCGACCCCTGGTACCAAAAAAAAAAATTTTTTTTATTCTATTTCAAGCCAATGTCTTGATAAGTCCCCTAGGCTGGCCTCAAACTTTGGGTCCTCCTGCCTCAGCCTCCTGAGTATCTGGGACTCCAGATGTGTGCCAGCACAACTGGCTAAGGATCTCACTAACAACATGGGAGCACCGGCTGGAAGGAACCTGAGCTCCAGACTGGACTCCAAGCTTATGAGCTGCCCATCTGCCTGGCCTCCTCTGGGGCCCTACTGGCTTGTGGCTTTCTGCCTCCTCCCAGAAGCCCAGTTTCCCCACAGGGGCTGACCCTGAATCCTGCCACCTCTGCCAGCAAAACCTCTCTGCTTCCCTCCTGTCTCACTTCCTTCTCCATCTGCCTCCTCCACTGCTTCATGATGTATTTCTAATACATCATCACCTCCTGCAGATTTAGCTTCCTAAGTGCTCATTAAACTTGTCCCAGAGTGACTTTTTTTTCCTTCTGTTGTGCTGGGGACAGAGTTCAGGGCCTCACCCTGGTATTTTTGCTTTCTTTTGGGTTTTGCGGGGGTTTGTTTTGGTTTGTGTGTTTGAGATAGGGTCTGCCTATGTTATGCAAGCTGGCCTCAGACTCACAGCAAATCCCAGTCTGGCCTTGAACTTGTGATTCTCCTGATTCAGACTCCACATGCCAAGATGCTTCATTCTTGCCAAGCAAGTGTGGAATCACTGAGCTACATGCCAGCTCCTCCAAATAAGCCAAAGCCTCGGCCCCCGATGTTGGGGAATCAGAGCGTTTCTGTCCTCCATTTGGGAATTTCCACTGTCCCTCTTCCAAGCCAGGACACAAAGGTATGGACTCTGTCTACATGCCCTGGGCTTGAGTCCACCTCTGCTATCGCCCTTTAGCTGTGTGACTGGAGGGAAGGACTTACCCTCTCTGTGCCTCTAGGTCTAGATCTGTAAAACTGGCCTGAAACTGTCTTGTTTTCTTTGTAGTTTGCAATGTTTAGTTCTGGTTTCTGACGTGGCTCAGGCCATAGCCCAGCACACTGTGTTTATTAAAGTGAAAAAAGCCCCGCAGAGCTGGACGCGGTAGCCCACACCTGAAATCCTAGCACTCTGGAGGCTGATGTGCTGAAATGGCACTTGGAGGGCAGGCAGACCAAGGAGGAGAGCGGTGCTGAGAACGAAGGGAAGACAGGTTTATTTGCTAGCTAGCAGCCCAGCGGAAGTCCCCTTCCAGGGTCTGAGCCCATTTCTTATCAGTTCTGCAGCTGGGGTGGGGAGCAAGCAGGACTTCACAGAAGCAAAACTTAGCACAGGGCTGGGAGGTGGAGGTAACACTTTTTACAGTTTGTCTTTAAGACATGGAGATGGGCAGCTGTGTCTCAGCAGTTTGTCATCTGTGTGGTGACCTTTGTGGGTTAGCAAGAAGGGCAGGGCTCAGCATGGAGCCTGGAGACCTCAGTCTCTGCCGGACTTTGAGACTGTCGCCTATGCCCTTTTGTTTTCCATTTCAGCGGGAGTAAGAATCTTGGCCCTGAAGCAGAGGCGACACAGTGAGTTCAAGGCCAGCCTGGATTACATAAAACAATAATGAGAAGCCCTCTACCCTCTCCTAAGCTCACAGCAGCGCTATGTGGCCCGGTGAGTCTCTGAAGAGGCTTCAGTCCCATGGACGGGGAAAAACATTCAGAAGAACTAAGTAAGTATCAGTAACTCTGGAATGGGCACAGTCGTCCATCCTTTGTCACTCAGTTCAGGATACCTTCCTCATTTCCCTTTGGATTTCTTCTTGTGCTCCTGAGATATTTATAAATGTGTTATTTAGTTTCTGAATATTCAGAGCTTTTTTATTTTTTATTTTTTATTTTTTGGTACTGGGGATCAAACTTGGGACCTTGCGTTTGTGAGGCAGTGGCAGAACCACTGAGCCAAATCCCCGGCCCTATTCAGAATTCTTTTTACAGATAGCTTTTTGTTATTGATTTCTAATATTAATGTTCCATTGTGGTCAGAGAAAGAAGTTTGCATGATTTGAGGCCTTTTAAATGTATCAAAACTTTTATGGCCCAGAATATGGTCTGCCTTGGTAAATATATGTGCATAGTAATGATACTAAAACAGAGGTGGTAGACATGGGAGGGTCTGGTTGTGCTGTTGTTGCTACCTTGATGTCCTGAATGGATTAAAAGCATCTTCCCCTCATGGTCACTTTGACTTTGGGGAAGAGCCAGGAGTCACACGGTGCCGGATCTGGTGAACAAGGTGGATGAGAACACACCACAATGTTTTTGTTTGATGTAAGTTTTCGTGGGTTGGAAGGGGACAGTGACAGCCTCTGGAGGTCTCGGCAAAGCGCCAGGCCCTAGAAGCTGGGAGGAAGAGCTCTGGGGCAGGAGGCTGGGACTGTGAGCAGGGCCCATCCTGGGGATGCCTGTGTCCATTGTGGTCATGAGAGAGAGGTGGTGGGACCCTGTCTCCCCATTCCCTTCAACCCTCACAGGAGCCCCGGCCTGCATGCCCTGACTTGGGCAGTGTGCAAGTGTGTGGGTCCCACCCTGGGCCAGGCACCAGAAGCTGGACAAGTGTCAGGCAGCGCCCGCAGGAGCCTGCTGTCCAGGAGGAGCGGGGCAGGACAGAGAGCCAATGGGCGAGTTTAGGCAGGTTCCCTGTCCTGTCAGACCAGAGGTGCTGGCGGAGTGCTGGAGCGCCTTCCCCACACACTGTCCTTTCCCTTTGAAGTCACTTCCAAACCCCTGAGTCATCTCAGACGCCTCCTGGCTTCAGTTCCCACGTTCTG